TCTTGTCATGCGACTACTTAAGAGTTGACGTTAAGGATGGTCGCAGTTTTACCGTAAGCCTAATCAACCCGAGAGAACGACGAAGAAGAAATGCCGTTTATAAGATCAGTTGCAACCACTGAACACACACATCATGCATACACATCACCGGAAACAGGTAAGAAAAGAAGGAGGCAATTAAAGAAAAAGGGCGCAGTACGGTGCATTCAACTTTCTTAAGTGTCCTCAGCAGAAAACCTCTTTCCTTTGCGCCCAAACCTGTATATTTATAAGAGAAGCTAAGTTACATAGAATAGAATCTGAAAGATGAACATTTTCAGGTTATAAACAATTTTTCTATAAATATCTTCTCCTCTTCCAGATCTATAAGGCATCTGACAGTCTGTGGGATTACCGAGTTGTTGAACGTTAACGTGGTTTGTGGTTTCACTGAGAGATAACGTTGAAGGTCAAAGTGTGAAGTTTCAGTGGGGTCAGATAAAATCAGTTTATCCAGATGAATTGCCCTTGCCCTTCGTACGATTTCTCCAACCTGTAAAGCGTCCAATTCCTTCGGTGTGGAACTGCGTAGTCAAGTTAGGACACTCTTAGCGACCGTCATGCCTCGATGAACTCCAGAAGAATCCTTAAGATATGAAAACCTGTAGATGACATTATTTCTGTTATGGAAAATGAATCTCCCTGATAGAACAACAACACCTCATGTTGATTATCACATTGAATAATAAGTTATCAGATGGATGAAGGTGAATCTCAGACAGATGAGGCATTCGCGTCTGACATCATGGCTGCACCTCACCTCCATTCTGGTGTGGCCACACCGGAAAACGATATGGCTTCAGAAGACGGCGACTTGCTACTCATTTTTCAACTGGTTGCACCGAAGCAACGATGAGTGAATTTCTTGCTCAAAGCAATTTACGATGCCATCGTTACAAGATTAACGGAGGATTCAGAAACATCCCATCGCAAACCTCAAAATGGGTCAAGATTCAAGCTTCTGACCTAAGAAAAACACCTTTTGAATTCTAGTTTGAAAAATTTGTCGAACAGATTTGGAAAAGTATTTCATCGTGATTGATTGGACTAAATCCCTCCACTTTCGATTTGTACTGGCTTAAATTTGAAAATGTACTTGTCAAAATCTCACTTTAGCACCCTGCAAACGAAACCAGACAACCTCAAAAAAGATCGATCAGCTAGCGAGGGAACGACAGGTCACAGCTGCGATGGTTTGGGCATGTGTTGAGAATGGCTCCAGAAAAGAAGGCTAAGCAACTATTTCTTGTGAATCCAAACGGCAGAAGGCCTAGGATAGACTGTATTCCAAGGTTCTTCCGGATATCAGTGTTCCGGACCATGTCGAGACGCGTAAAGCCATATATATATAATATACACCACAAACAGGTTTACTTCCGGCAATACAGTGCTTGTTTTATAGATTTATGTGCCCGTTTTTACATTCTAAGTAAAACCGCTCATGAATGGTATCTTGCGATACTCAAACCTCCCAACCTGCTTCAGTTGCAGAGAATGGCAAAGGATCATTTTCTAGGGTAATAAGGCCCCTCCCCGGCTATGGCTACGCTGATTTTCACTCGGCAGCGAACCGATCAGCGCTATATTGGAGGCCAGTCGGAGACGTGGCAAACAGATGAAGAACATCTGCAAACAGGAACTAATCCCTTTACAAATATTTCTAATCGTAGCAGAATTCAACACGGATATTCCACTCCACAGTACTGCTTAAAGATAATGCTTCATCATTAAAGAGTAATTTACTTCCCGCTACTCACGTATTTTGCTCTGAGCTACTTGAACCTCTCTACTAATTTTAGCTGCAGCTCTGTTTCGAATTTTATTCTTATGCTGAAGCATCATAAATCAGTTATCTATATTGATTCCACAGCAAATCATTGAAGTGTATTACTCCCACATTAAACCCTCAAAGCAAGACCGCAACTTTAAGGTAATATAAGACAGCCTAGCATTCCGTTTCTGAATACTCTATATAACTGTCTGTTTGATGGGCATGTAGAATGATGCTGTAAATTGAATGTAAATATTTAATTCAATAAATGCGAAAAACATAAATATAAGCAGAGCCTGAATTACAAATTGCTGACGAGTATATATATTCCTCAGTTGTGTGCTGTAGTTCGAATCAGACATTAATGTTATTTTAAATTTCCATCGATTAAACAGAACACGATACAAACTATTAAATTTATAAACAGGTTAGTATATTCGCTGGCTCCTAATCATCTAATGACAAGAATAACACGAGCATGACAGGGTTAGGGCACTCTTTTATCTCGTCTTCTAATTTGACGAATCCCGAAGGGGATCAGTGAAACCATGCCAGGTCAGTTTCACAGCAAAGGCGGCCAAATCGCTGGCGAATGCCGTCTTGCTTAGATGGTCGACGACACAAACATACAAGGTCGGTGGGCATATTTCATTGAGGCTTTCCTGGAAGTTGATCAACTGAAAATTTCACTTAAATTGAAGCATATCCAGTGAGGCATGTTTTATACTGGCGCTAGTCGAAAATTGATTGATACTGATTCGACCGACTCGGTTACTCAAATACGTATGGTCGAATTATTACTGGTATACTTTGGGACGGCTTCTGTAAGTTAACTTTTGAATCCACTGTTTCTGTGTTTAGAGTCTTTACAGAACATCTGTCGTTTAGAAACACTTATTTTTTTGGCATCTTATGAAGTGCCTTAGGGTTCATTTAAGCAAATTTTACTGAACGACTTAGTGCTGGTGTCGAATCTTTGCGCTTAGGACAGAAGTAGTGTAACATTTTTGAAGTTGAAGCGCCAAAAAAAGTTCCTCACCATGTCCCTGGGCAGGAAGCAGAGTAGAGGTTCATGAATTAGGGCGTAGATACCTCTTCAAATGGGTACGTTTCCAATTATAGCAGTTGGGCTTGCCTCACAAAAAAGGCACTGAACATCGTCTAAAAAATCGACGAAGGTAACTGCAATGAGATCTACATTTGAAAGACTAGCGGAAGTTGTACATCCGGATCAAAAAACTTCGTTTGCAGTCCGTCTCAATGAGCCTAATCCAGAGTACCATTTATGAGAGGCATTCCTGCAGTAGGCGAGTGTTTGCGTATTCATTAGGATCAGTGAAAACTCGATCTTTTGGTAAGGAAGACCTCGATTATCTTAACACTGAAACGTCGGATGTGATAGGTTTCGTTCCATTATGAGAAGGGGACTATCCTAGAATTGACTGTCATTCATGCTTTCTAGAACTATTTAAAATTCCCTTTATTCCATTTTCATGCCACAAAATGCACTTGTTGTCAGCTTAACCTATTTGACCGGATAATAGCTGAAAACTCTGAGACACAGACAATGAAAGCTTGAAAATCTGCATTATTTGGTGCTCCGAGCCATGGAGAGTTCTGGATGCTGTCAACCGATCATGATTACATCATGATACGTCCTTTATGACAATGAGAGGTGAGTGAGGAGACCCTAAGAGTGAAAAAAAACTGGAATTCCTGAATCACTGTTACTTACCAATCATCACGGGCAAACATTTTCAACCATCAAACATCAAACTCCACAATTCATCCAGTAGCGACAAAACCCACCCCTTTTCCCTCTGAAGAATGGCGACTGAGTTCACTGGGTCACGTGTTGAGATTTCTGTCACAAGACATCACTTCCATTACACTGAGCGTCCCTCCGATTCCTGGATTGCACGGGAAAAGAGGCCAAGGCGTAGACCTCCGTATGGTGGAGGTCTGTCAGAGTAGATGTTTAAGTCTTCTCTAGGCAGGCAGTGTACGGTACAAGCCGATGAAAGACCGGCTACACTTCTTGGCAGTTTGGCTAATAGCTGATATAATATATACTGACGAATTGCATTTACGTATGATCAAGTAGACATACACATATACTGATTCGTCTTGAAGTTTAAAAATGCGGTATTTACAGAATGATCATGCTGTCTCTACGGCTCTGTGATTCGTGATCGTCGATTCGTTGCTTCCTTCTGTTGTCGGCTAAGTTCAAAGCAAACGTCTGACGAGGAGAATATGTTAACAGGAGCATTTATTTCGATGCATCGAGGAACGTTGTCACAGTAAGTTGCTCTGCGTTATTTAAAAATGAGGACGAGAAAGATTCTAACGGGTGTAGCCTTCCTTACACGTTTATGATGGGGTTATTTTTGCCTCTTTCTTTGCGTGAAGTTCATGGCGAGACGCTGACCTTCGTTTCCATGAAATTGGTCAGGAATGCGTTATTTCAAACGCATAATCGACAGAAACTATGTGTCAAGAATACTGTGCAGTCGCCTGTTTATTTCCCACAGAGTGGGACTCATTTTTCAACCTCGAAAGGAAAAAAGATGAGCATCGCGACTGGGCTTGAACCCAAGACCTCACAATTCTGAGTCTGACGCCCTACCGACTGAATAACCCTGATCTAAAGGCATTTGTGGCAAATTTCATGTTCAAGAGAGGTTAAGACGCGGATTGTCCTCCGCTGGAATCGAATCGCACACCTCCACAATTCTAGCTGACCTCTTAGGCATCGTGCATGGTCGGAAGACGCTGCAAATGTATTCCTTGTCTTGGACTCACACAGTGTTTCTCCACAGCAAAGCTATCTTCGCATTCTCTAAAATGACAAGAGTGTTTCTTATTCGTTCCTCTGTTCCTTTTTTGCCTCTCCCTACTAATCAGTGTTGTTCATGTGTTTCCTTGTTATTTCAACTCTGGCATCACTCGTCGTTTTCCAAGAGATTGCACCAAACTTGCAAGGAATGCAATATTCCGTCAGTGCTTTCTGTCGCGACATTTGTCACATTCAGCAAGATAAAAAATGCTCTGCTGGTCTAGGCTTTGAGCAGGGACAACGACATTGATTCAGTGATCCATTCCTGAACATTCTTTATTGATAAGAAGTGGCCAACTCAAAGTCGCCGCCTTGACTCCTGTTAGATTTTCATTTAGTACTGTACTTTGACGAGTGAAATACGGATCGGAACGTTGGTAATACAGTAAATAAAATTTGCATGCGAATATTCCTGTAACAGACATGAAGACCGTATACTGAGCTTTCAGAAGTCCACTTATGACCTTCCAGGCCTTTAGTCTTGCGTTTCGTTGAATCACTGATCTGGTGCTGCCCGCGACGTTATCGTAATACGTTTTCAACTGCACGGCAAACTCCAACATGCAAATGAGTTTCACTGAGTCAAACTCTTGTATTTTGGAAAAATGATAATCAACGCGCTTTGTACGCTAATGAATGGCAATCGACGGAGGTAGGTAGACTTAGCGCCCACAGGGTAGCTTTCATTAGTGAAAAATTTACATATGATTCGATCAAGCTAAGGCGGCAACGCGGGAACAAAATTGGTCTATGGTAATAAAGAATAAACTGTGCAATATTGGCAGCGTGCTGTCTTCGGGCATTCATAGCTACTTATCCTTACCTATGGTCATGAATGACTGAATGCGATTCTAAATATAACCATCAGAAATGAGGTTTCTTCGAAGAATGACTGGTATGACGAGGTCTGACAGCATTGCCCATGAACTTTTCGAGTTGAAGATTGGTAGATCACCGTTGAAATGGCTTGAACATGCTAAGGGGGTGTAAAAAGAACACTCGTGTGATTGACATTCGTGTGACATTCAGGCGCTCAAAGGTCCAAGGAAGTCGAAATGGTTGAAATTAAGCAGAGAATACTGTCTTTTTATGCCTGAGAATCGAGTTGATGGGCATTAGACCTCAAGCATTGGAGAACTTCTGCATATGTTGTCATAATTCAATTATTTTCAAGGTTCACTTTTTTTGATTGACGGTATCATGTACTTTAACACTTCTTTCCAATGGTATACTGATCTCAATCACCCAGCAAGTGGACAACCTCAATAGTCTGAAGTATAAAGTACAACAATACGAAGTGTTGTACATAAAATGAGTCGTCTGGCTGCTGGTTTATTCGTCGACGGCCTTCAGTGTAGTTTTGTTTTACAGTGCACCCTTCCGAGTCCGCCCGGTGCCATCCATATAACATGGCTATACGATCACAGTCGTGATTATTTGATCTGAACGATGAATCGCTTACCATTAGTGATGTGCCGAGTTCCAAAGAAACTCCTATCTTAAGGTAGGAGTTATTTAGATTAATAATCTTTACTGAAAAATTAAACCCGAACTTATGGGTTTACTAGCATACTGCTAGTTTTAGATAT